GGAAGGCCTGCAACACAACCTCATAAGTGTATCTGAATTGGTTGTAGATACTGTTCTGAAAATATCGTTTGATCATGAGGGGTCAGAGATTATCGAAAAGTAGTCCAAGAAAGTGCTTCTGAAGTGTAAGAAGAAAGACGAAATGTATCCATTGAATCTGAATCCTATTAAAGGAAAGCCTGCCATACGCCTTCTTACGAAAGCATCTTCGGATGACAGTTAGTTATGGAATTGAAGGCTCTCGTATCTCAACTTCAAGGACCTCCACAAAATCGAACTTCATCATCATGTGCGAGGACTTCAAATTTTGAAATTTGAGAAGGATCAACTTTGTACCGCCAGTGGACTGGGCAAGCGGGGTAGAAAGAGTCATTCAACAATCATCAACACCAAAGTGATTGAGCCACTTGAACTATTGCATATAGATCTTTGCGGTACATAAGCCATCGAGAGTATTGTTGGTAACAAGTACATATTAGTAATTGTTGGTGATTTTTCAAGATTCACTTGGGTCTATTTTCTTATACATAAATTCGAAGCCACTTCTAAGCTTCAGGACATTTTCATGCAGATCAAACTTCAGCTACGAAAGCTAGTCCGGAATGTTCGAAGTGACAATGGATCGGAGTTAAGAAAAACAAGTGTTTGAAGAATTCCTAACTCAATAGGTAATTTCACATAACTTTTAGCTCGTTACACTCCTTAACAGAATGGAGAGATTGTAAGACGAAATGGGTCTCTGTGCAAAGCTACAAGGACCATGTTATCCTTTGTGAACTTGTCGTTGTACTTCTAGGCAGAGGCGATTGAAATATATTGATTTACTCAAAATCGATCACTACACAATAAATTCTTTTCCATAACTCCCTATGAGATTCTAAACAAGCGAAAACCTAATGTCAAGTTCCTTCATGTATTTGGTTCCAGGTGTTTATCTTCAACTCAAAGGAGCAAGAAACCAAATTCAGTGTGAAGGTTGACGAAGGATTCTTCCTGGGGTATTCTTTGACCTCTAAGGCATATTGGGTTCTTAAAAGGAAATCCAAACAGATTGAAGAAACCTACTATGTCACGTTCGATGATAATTATTTAAGAATGTATCAAACTTCCGAAGGTCAATCTGAGGAGATCCTTCCCGTGACAAATCTGATGACGATTCCTCTATCAAACGTCTATGAAGAATTCACGAACCTGTTTGGCGAACCGAAAAAGGTGATGTCATCGGACTCAAAAGCAACAGATAACAAAGAATACGAACTCCAGAAAATTATTGATGATGTTGTGAAGGATTTGAAAATGAACCACACAGACTGAAGGGTTCTAAAAAAATCAACCATCGCCACAAGCTACGAATGCTCATGTTCAGAGGGAGGATGTATTTCCTAAAGTCAGCTTAGAACCGCCATTCCAGGGGGAGGATTTAAATCCTCTAAATAACCACAAAAGTCCAATCTAGGGGGAGCATCTTATTCCGAATGAAGAGCAACCTCCATCATTCAAGGGGGAGAATGAGAATGACAACAATGATTTAGATTCTTAGTCAGAATTCGAGGACGTGAATACATAATTGGATCCATCCTTTGATCCGAACTATCATCTTTTGACCAAATGAACCAAGTATCATCCGAAAACCCAAGTTATCGGAGAAGCATCTTCAGGAGTTCATACGAGAGCGAAAAAAAAAGTGAAGCACACTGCACTATTCTCCAAGATGGAATTTTGCATGTTCAATTCGTTTATCTCCAAGATTAAGCCCAAAAATGTTAAGATTACTCTTTGTCATTCTGATTGGGTGTAAGCAATGCATGATGAGCTCAATGAGTTTGAATGTAACAAGGTTTAGAGACTTATTCCAACTCCGAAGGATGTATTGGTTGTAGGACTGTAATGGGTGTTTCGTAAAAGCTTGACATAGAATGAAATGTGATTCAAAACAAAGCTAGATTGGTTGTTAAAGGGTATTGCCAAGAAGAAGGTATTGACTACGAAAAACCTTCGCACCACTAGCACGGTTGGAGTCTGATCGCATTTTTCTAGCATACAAAGCTTATAAGAATTTTGAAGTCTATCAAACAGACGTCAAGTGTGCCTTTCTGAATGGGGAACTAGTAGAAACCATATATGTGGAACAGCCACCGGGGTTCATAAATGAGAAATATCCAAACCACTGGTACATTCTAGACAAGGTTGTTTATGGTCTGAAGCAGTCTCCACGAGCATGATATGGAAGTCTAACTTTATTTTAAAACAACCTTCTTTCACAGGAAAGATGGTGACCATCTAATGGTTGTCCAAATTTATGTTGCTGATATAATTTTCAGATCTACTACTCCTAGATTAACTGCTGAATTCCATAAATTAATGGAAACTAAGTTTGAGATGAGCTCAATGGGTTCGATTAACTTTTTCCTTGGATTGAATATTAGACACAGTTAAGAGGGAATATTCATCAATAAGGAAGCTTATACGAAGACATTAGTGAACAAGTTCGGAATTGTAGGAGATTCGAAGGTGCTGGTTCCAATGGCATTTAGAATGAAACTTACACCATCATTGGACAAACTGGCTGCTGATATGACTCTCTATCGACAAATGATAGGATCATTGATGTATTTAACAACATGTCATCCAGAAATTATGTTATCGGTTTGCTATTGTGCCAGATTTCAAGAAGATCCTCATGAACCTCACATGATTGTTGTTAAGAATATCACCAGATACGTAAAATGAACCACCTCGCTCAGAATTTGGTACCCTTCGAACTCAGGGTTCTTTGTGCAAGCATTCTCTGACACTGATCTTGGCGGATACGGTCTTGAACGAAAAAGTACAACTAGGGGATGTCAATTTCTTGATGGCAAACTTGTTAGTTGGTAATCAAAGAAATAAATTTGTGTATCCCTTTCGACTACTGAAGTTGAGTATATCACAACTGCTTCTTATACCTCACAAGTAATTTGGATCCAAAGTCAGCTAATGGATTATGGAATTAATATGAAGAGAATCCCTTTATACTGTGATTCTGAAAGTGCAATTCGCATTTGCCACAACATAGTGCAACATTCCAAGACAAAACATATTGCATTGAGGTATCATTTCGTAGTGGATCATGTGGAAGATGACAATGCTGAAATTCACTTTGTGAGATCTGCTGATCAATCAGCTGATATCTTTGATGAAATCCTTGCTTGAACAAACTTTCAATCATATTCTTCAAGGCTTTGGAATGATAGAAGCGGAATTCGTTCTGAAACTATCTTCGTAGTTGGTAAGAATTTGCTGTGAATGGGTACGAACCCTCGGAGTAGTTCAGGGTATACTGTTCACACTGTGAATTAGTCCGAACGCTCAGAGCCACTCGGAGTTCACTGCCCATTCGGAGATTCAGAACACTATGTATCCTTTGTATATTTGTTAATTCCTATTCATTATTGTTTTTAATATACAATTTCTGTTTTTATTTCATTTTCAGAAAATCAAAAATTCAAAAATATTTCATTTTCCTATTTTTGTTTCTTTTTTAAGAAATTAAAATTCCCAAAGTATTTCTTTTTCTGTTTTTATTTCTTTTTAAGAAAATCAAAAATCCAAATTTTTTTTTTGTTTTATCTTTTTCAGAAAATCAACAATTCAAAACTATTTTCGTTATTTTCATTTTTCATTCTTTTGATAGTAAAATTGAAAGACCGAAAATATTATACATTTGAGAAGGCTTAAAGGCACATATTCTTTATGGTCTCAATTCCGAAAGAAGGGGCAGGTATGAAATTCCAAAACTTTGCACTAGTTAACTGTCCTTAGAAGCATGATGTTGCATGTTGTCCGAAGCCTCTGAAACTCTATGTTTGAAGCCTTAATGAATCAATAATACCAATCGTTTCTTCCCAATCAAGCTAAAATTCACATATGTCATTGAGCTACCTTAGTCTTCTCGTTCTAAGTTAGGAGTTAATTGCTTGGTCATTCTCATATAGTATATGTACATTACTCTTCGAAACCACCTCCCGCTATTTCTCCATCATTTTCATTTCCACATTTGTAACCCTTGAGACTCTCAAATATTACCGCTGAGGTTTATGGTTACACAACTTCTGTGTTTATGATATTAAATCGTTGTTAACACGAATTAAGTGAAACCGAACATCCAACATCGATTTCAGAATTGACGGTGGACAATTATTGTGTTCTAGACTTTTCACCATGGAATTAATGAATTTTAACCCTCATGGTTCGTACCTTGAAATCTCATTATTTTATTTTTTGCAATATCTTAATGAAATGTTCTAGACCTAAGACGTTTCTACCCAAGTGATCCTTTTTATAGACTTCCACACTATCCAACTACTCAAATAATTCCAAAGCATACTTGTTATAATGGCTACACTGGTCAAACAAGTACTTCTTCCGAACATTCGGAATTCTGTTGAGTTTCGGAGTTTGGTTGAAGATGAAGCCACCCTTATGCATAAACGAGAAGTAGCATTTTACTGTTTCTCAACAAACAGGTGATCATAATTCAATGGGATACAACAAGCACTTACGATTCTCTCTTGACTCCAAAGGAAGAGATCATTGTCTGGATCCATCTACTTTTTTGTCAATTATGACATCACAGATTCCGATATATATATTTTAATTTATTTCTTTATCTTGGGCAAACTCTTGCACAAAAGTCCATGCGATTTTCCAAAAATCTTGTCTCAATAAATTCCAAATGATTACTTTTGGATTCGAAGAACATGAATTGGCGATCTATTAAGAAAGTGCAAATTGAAATGACGGACATCATGCCGTCTGACACACGCCAACCTGTCACGCCTTTTCATTGCGTTTTTTCAAGGATTATGGAGCGTCAACCGCTGGATTTCTCTCACGTCTAATGACGTATAAAAGGAAAATAACGATTCATTCCAGATTACCTCTCTCAAAATCTAAAACTTTTGGTGCAAGAAAAAACCCTTTCTCTCAGTTCTGTTCATCGTCTTCTCCATCATCTTTCCATGGCTTCTTCGTCTAATACTCCCTCTGCCACAGATCAAACCGATTCATCGGGTCTTCTGAGCCTCAATCCTAACCAGAATCTCATATTGGACCATGATCCATCCAAATATGAAGCTTTTCTCCACCCATTGATCGAGTGTTTGGGACATTCTCCTGTGGCTCAAGCTCTCTCAATGACAGAAAATGTTCCATTCATTCATTTATCCAATGCTTTCACCACAACTCGCTACCAGGAAAGTCGATCGATTATTACTTTCAAGGTTGGTTTTGTACAAACCTCCACCACCAAGGCTTGTTTTAGTCGATTGCTACGGGTTCCTGTTTCTAGGGATTTGATCGATCTTAAATCTGCCTCTTCTTCTGTAGTGTTGGAAATGTTCTAGCAGAAGGGTTATCTAGACAATCTTGCTATCTTGTCCAAGTTCAAGAAGCCCAACCTTCCTCCAATGTGGAATGGGTTGTCTTCCTTGATTTTCAAAAGCTTCTCAGTAAGGGTAATGGCTTCGTATAGTGCCAGTAAGCTCTTCCTCACCATTCTTTACGGGATCTATTCTAGAATCAAAATGGATTATGGTTCAGTTTTATTGGCTCAGCTAATACAAAGCATTCTCTCTTCTACACTAAACAAAGAAATTTTGTGTGCTCGTTTTTGGTCTATCATCTTTCAAAGGGCTATTAATCATCACAATATTCCATTGATATAGGATTCAAGTATTGCTGCTATTCCTATTTTTCCCACCTTGAACTTCATTGTGTCCAATCATTCAAAATTTTCCTTTATTGGTTCTATTTTTGAGACGATGCCTCACTATGTTCCAGTAGACAATGCAGTCATCAACGAATATCGAAAGAAACCCGCATTTGGTTCTTATCCCTTAACAACTCTAATGTGAAAGTTCTTGGAAGATGCTAACAAGACAAAGAAAGGGAGAAAATGAAAGACAAAAGCAGGTACTCGGAACCTGTTGCTAATCCGAAGAAAATCATGCGAGCTGCTCGCAAGCCAAGGTCTCCTTCACCAGTTACTCAGGAGGAATCTGAGTCCTGAACTCTTTCGAAGGATGTTCAGGCTCACAACGATGATGATGACACAACTGCATCTTCACAACCTATGGTTTCACAGCCAACTCCTACGAGCACCAATCTATAGGTAACTTTTTCTTTTCCTCAATATGTCCATTTAACAGAAGATTTTTTCCAACGCCTTACTCCTCTATTTTCTTTGAATCACACCTCTACTCAAACAACAACTCCAATTTCCATCTCTCCATATCTGAACATCTCTATTGTTGTTTCAGAACCACATGTTTCGGTTCCATTCTCTACACCCTTCTGCACCGAATCCACAACAACCACAACAACAACCACTAGTACACCTCTAGTCTATGTCAACATATCTGATACATGGGTAGGTGCTTCTGGTGTGTCTTTTGGTCTAGAATTCACTCTTATCTCACCTCTACAAATGCACGATTCGGACATAGTCTTTGGGAATGATTGGCATCATTTTTATGATTTTCATTACAACCCATTCATCATTCAATAATCTTGTAATGATGAGGATGCCCATGTTACAAAGGGTCAGTTCAAGCATTTGAATGAAAAATTGGACAGGATCTTAGAATCTAAAAATTCCGCTTCCTCTTCTGAGTACATGCTCGCATCTCTTAGAGCATTAATAGACACTTTGACGAAAGAGCATGCTACAATTCTTGCCAAATCTAACAAGGTTGTTGAGGATTCTTAGATAACTTGAAAAGATACGACAAAAAATGTAAAAAAAAACTACTTTTTGAGGTTACTACTTTCATGGGTACTTTACAAAGCTCTTTCGAATCAAACACCACAAATGCGAACAAAGTGATTTCTTGCCTCGGTGAAACTCCTCATATTGAGAAAGCATCACTTGAAAAGGTTCAAACTAATATTCAGAGTGATCATGTTGAGCTACAAACATCCATTACTTCCTGGCTTAACAAGCTTCAAGAGGATTTTTCCATTGAAAACAAAATCATGGATGAGCTCACAGTCAAAATAGAGAAGGTGAAAGTTCTTTTGGTGAAGTTATCTCATGAGAATGAGCAGATCGACGAGCTCAAGTCCGAATAGGTTGTGATAAAGAGTTATGTCAATGATGTAAACATTTTTCTTTAAATTCTTGTCGAAACTTGTGATTCGCTACTTAAAGTTTCTGTTCGACAACATCTAGCTAACAAGCTCAAGCCTATATTCTCAATGCTTAATATAATTAAAAGTGTTTTGGCATCGTGTTCTCTTCCAAAACATGGGGGAGTACAGACAAAAGCATCTGGTGAACCACGTAGGAAACACGCAAGTGGATCTGATGAGCATGAACAAAAGTTGAATCCTAATGATCCCAAGGGCAATGAAGCTTCAACACGAAAAGGTAAAAGAAAGCTTTCTGATGATGATGATGATGAATAAGAAGAGGATGAAAATGCAAAGCTGAAGCGTAAGTCTCGTGATGCAGAGTTAGATGAGAATTTGTGAATTGACAGGGAAGCTGAAGCATGAGAGAAGACAGCTTGTGAAGCCCAAGATACTTTGAAAACTTAGAAATTTCTTTTCCCTCCCTAGTCAATTGAGCGAATTTTGAACGAAACCATCGACAATCCAAGTATTCACTGGATGGATTTTGTAACTTCGTTTGAATTAGAAAACACTTTGGATTCCCAGCTAGATGTTCCTATTACTCTAAAGGCATTCATGTTTCAGAGTTGTGAAAAAGTTAAGAAAGATCCTGAGTGTCATCATGATCCCAATATTTTGCTTATCTCCTTTTATTTGAAGCATGGCAAGCCCCAATATTAAACCTTGAGTTCTAAGTAGATTAAAATTGTGAAAGTTTTTGGCCCCATTGAAACCGAAAGCTTCTTGACTGTGAGATTTAAAAACCTAGAGGTGCTTCGAGTTTGATGTTTAAGCTTACACTCACAGATCTGTCGTGCCTTAAACCGCTTGAGTTGATATCTCTGTTTCATCTCTTGCTAAAGGATGAACAGAAATATGAACCTATCTCAAAAGGATGCTAATCTCGTACATACAAGTTGGAAAAATGGATGTAGAAATTGCGGCAGATTTACAAAGGAAGTCTGTTGTTAATACGAAAGAATCTTCCACGGACATTAACAAGATGAAGCTTAAAAGGATTAAGAAGCACAACTAGAGTGTAATGTTTCAACGAAGTGCAAGAGAGAGAGTTTGAATCCTCATAAGTGTTTGTTCACCCTTTCTGAAAAACATCTTTACTCCACTTCCTGCTTGAACTACATTTTGGAGTTGATTGGGCAGTGCAAATTGAATGATACTTCAACCAAGTAATGCTTTGTAGACATGATCATATGGTATATTGCAGTTAACAGCACCCTCCGCCATCTTATTCCGAAGCTCTTCAAGGTCCAGAAGAGGCAGCAAAACTGAAGAGTGTACCTTCCTGAATTGACACAAAGGGTGAGATTTTTGGGATATTTTGTGTTGTGTCAATTGTATTTTGTCCTAGTATAGTCCACTTTGTAATGGCTTGGGCCTGTCTACCTGATTTTTAATTATTTTAGTGTTAGACTATATATATAGTGCATGCATGCATTATATTAGGTATCGATTGTACTAGCCCTACCGTGCCTTTACAGAGAAGTTCTTCCTCTAGCTCTTTTAAGCATTGTTTCTAATCATTCATAACAACTTCGATCATTGTTTTCTTTGTGCGATTTAGTTTTCTGTTAAGAATCTATCGATCAACTCATATTTGTTCTAACACTTTATCCAGTCCAGCAGATTTGAGAGTCTCCTGACTTCCATCAACTCACAAATACCAAAGGTACCACAAGCAGGAGAAATAAGAAACCATGATTACTGGGCCCACAACCCTTAACCACCCTTCTTGGCAACATATCATGAATTTACCACAAATCATATCCTTAAGAAATCCATAACCTCAACCAAATAGGGAATAAATAACGGAGTTATATTGAAGCGAAAAAACCTCAATCATTACCAAAAGACATCCCCATAAAATATTGAAACAAGTTGATTGATACTGAATAGATTCCATGAATATGCATCAAGATCAAGAAGGCTTTTTGATTGCTACCAAGACCCGAGCCTGCTATAAACCGAAATTCCACAACACCATTGAGGGTAAACGTACCCAAAGGCCAAAGGAACATAAAAACATATTGAACTTGATGATAGGTTGACACATTCCTTGAACTTCAACTACCACCTCTTGAAACTTTCAAAGAATCTTTATTGAATGATGAACAAAACAACCAATGATCGAGGATGCATTGAAATTAGATCTAATCAACCAAAACCTGCATGAAGCTGAATGTACCAAATTATGACACTAATTCCATGATCGGCCTCTACCTAAGCTAGACTATAATTAGAAATCCATACAGCAAGATGATAAATTCCTCAACAAGGAACCAATAGCTGCATGAGCCCTTGACCAATCACTTTCTACTGAGGGATAACTCATGTGTCTCCTAAACACATATATATGATTACCACCAACTATACCCCTTCCTTGACTAAATCCTTAACTGAGATCCCACATACTAGCCCTGTAGATCCCTAATAACCATCCTCCCAATACCACAAACTTAAACAGATCAATGATCCTCCAAGCAGAATACCCAGTTCTCCCCCGCTTGAGGTTCAAACAACCACCCACCGGTGTTGAAACCAAACCATAACTCACTGGCTCAACTAGGTACGACCATCCCTAACCCTGAAATGAATAATACATGCAGGGTGATCCTCCAGTTCAGAACCAATCAAACCATAAGAGAATTCTGGATTTCAGATGAAGACCTCTAAAATTCCCAAATCACAATCTGGCACCTGGCTTCCTATAGCCAAGGAAGACATACCCTCGATCGTGTGACTAAGCATCCATACCATATCAATCCTCCTATGCATTCCCATGCTATCATATCATCACCGGACACTGCAACCTACTGGCCACTTGTTGGGTTTACATCCTAACTCTTGAAGTTAGAAGTTTGATTACTCCCTTGAACTCCGAAAACTTAAAGGGAAAAATCTTAGCTAAAGATATCGACATTTCAATCCATGAACCAACCACTCGCTTCTAGTTGTAGTTGTTTGGTTTTGAGCATTCTACACTCTTAAGGTGTACATGCAACCGTAAATACCTTGGATCTATTTTTTCTCTATTATACATGCAAACTTAAACTATCCAAGGTATTACCCTAACTAGCATACAAACTTTGGTACTTGGGTAATAAAAGGAGTTAGATAGCATACCTTTTCTTGTAGTTTGAAGCCTTGGACCTTTAGGAACTTAGTGCCCCACGTGTTGCACCTCAAATGGAATCACACAACACCATCAACAATT